ATGCCCATGAGAGCGCAAAAAACTGCAGCTCCATAAGCAAACTCTCCAAGCTTACAATCAATTTTATTCCAACTATTGGTGAAGTATCAGCTTTTATTTTTATCTTTTTTTTTTTTTAAACTCATTTATGTGCACATGCATAACACTTCCAAAAGTTTAATTACTGAAGTAACAAACTAAGCAGAAACGATTTCTCTGTGGCCAAAGCTGCCAGATTTTCAATTGAAATTATGGTATGGTATACTTATGGTATGAACAAGTAACAATTCAATCAAGTTAAACAAAACAATTGAAGAAAAATTAAACTGCAACCAAATCATACATACATCAGAATCTTCATCCTCATCATCTCCTGCTGGTGCCCCACCTTCTTTTCCTCCACTCTCCAAAAACTTTGTGAATCCATCTAGTGTTCTCTCACCATTGTAGTCAATTACCTAAAGAAGGGGGGGGGGGGAAGACAAGGGAAAAAAATAAATAATTTAATAAAAAACAAAACAAAAAAACAAACATGCTACTGCTACTAAGGAAAGGAAGGAAGGAAAGGAAAGGACGTGTGGCCAAGTATGGTGTCCCATACTTGGAATTTGTGCTCTGCATTTAACCCATCCAAGTGCACACACACAGCAGTGAACAAACACGCATGCAGTTGGGTTGGAGTTAATTCCCCCCACCTACAATCCCTGAGACTCGAACCCGCGACCTTTGGGTTACAAGTCCAACTCTCTATCCATTAGGCCATGACTGCACCACCACCACCACTACTGTAAAAGTAACTTGTTTATGGTGTTGGTCATAGCTGGGTGACCTTGCAAAACTGGGCTCTAGCCAAGATTTATCTTTAGAAGTAACTTACGAAAATCCATCACACTCATTTACCAACAACTAAATGGTGGTCTTTTGTCACCACATCTTTTATTCAGTGCTCCGCTTCATCAAAAGATACTCTGGACAGAGCAAGAGGTTTTAATTCTAGAATTAGATCCATGCAGCACCTCTAGAGCTCTCAGGGTCTAGACAAGGGGTGAATTCACAGGGTCGGGAGTGTCTTGTTTCCTATGCACGTGTTGTGAGGCAAGCTATAATCGGAGCATTTCTAAATCTGTTGACTAATTATTATCAACAAATTGCTTTGCCAGGGCACCATCCAAGTGAAGGAAAAAAAAAACCGACTAAAAAGAAAACACTTGACTGGAGCAGGAGAATTTGCTGGAGTTTTCAGAAGTATAAAACAATAGGTTACTTGCGTAACCCCGGTTCTCTGATAGCATAGGTTTTGGTGTCTCGCTATGGGATACGCCCCTTCCGCGTATTCCTCAGAAGCCCTATTACATTACGCCAGCCCCAATTGGCTGGCAGACGTGACGTCGTGTCTGGGAGTGGCCTCCCCACCCCTCAGTATAAAGGGAGCGACAAAACATCACTACGACATTCAAAACAAGCACACCTCTTCCTTGCTTCGCACAGCAAGGAGGGTGATCTGGTGAGACACCTCACTTAATGCTATCAGAGAACCGGGTTTACGCAAGTAACCTAGTGTTCTCTTTCAAGCATACGTTTCGGTGTCTCACTATGGGATATCCTAACTCCCGTATTGCCAGATAGCCTGCCTCAAAGTCTCCTGCCAACCACAATCACCGCATCCGGGGCTGAACGAGTCATGACTCGTGACTAGGGTTGGGAACCGATAATTCTTATTCCGAACCGGTTCTGTTTTTTGAAAAGAACCGGAACCGTGAGCAGTTTCTAAGTTTCGGTTCCGAAAACGGTTCTGGTGCGACACGTGACCAAGCGCAGTGAGCAGCCTTGCGCCAGCGTTTCCCGTAAAGGATGACACAAACCAAATAACAGAAACGCCGCCCTGCCTCTTTAATTACTGAGCACATTGTTTCCCATGACGCGCACTCCACAGACGCGCCAAGTCTTTAACTGCCGAACACATCGTTTTCCACGACTGTACGCACACTCGCGTCTTTGATAAATGTGCACGTTGTTTTGTCTGACTGTACATGTACCAGCAGCATGCAGCTCCTGCCGCCA